TTTAAGTGCAGCGTGCAAAGATGCAATCAGCTTAATGAATAAATCGCACTGCCTACACGCACATGGTTCTCTTCACCTGACGAATAAACTTCTTCAGTAACACCTACATCAGCTGTCATTAATAAATTAGAGAAAGTGTGGTAGAATAAGAAACAAGCACGAAATAATAAACCTTTTTAAACATCGATTTTGATTCATATCGAGCGTTCATAAATATTTCAGAAATAAATTTGCATGCCTTTTATTATTCATTATAAGCATATCGGACGGTTTTATGAATAAGTCAGACACAAATTGGGAGAAATGAAAAACTACAAGAAAGGAATTGCATAATTTCACTATTGTAATTGACAAAAGCGTTTCTATAATTAAAACGTTATTGTTGTTATGTAAGTCAGTTCTTTTGTATTAGAAACAATGTTTATGAAAGTTTCGAGTGTTCTTTGTTTAAATTCATTAACTTGAATGTAATTGTTTTGATAATTGAAGCTTTGAAGTTGGAGAGCCGTATTTTAAGACAGGAGTATTACTGTAACTGGCAGATTTATAATAAGGTGGAAAATGTTACAACTGAAATTGCGATTGATAAATTGTTTACTTGTGCGCTGAATAAATAAGTTAAATAAAAAATATGACATCTGAATAAAATTGTATTCTTTAACTGGCGTCCATCATGGAAGTACTGCGCTCCTGTATCGTATTTGCATTTACCTATTTCGCCGATAGTGAACTTTCATGAATCATTTATACGTAGGTACGCGAGCTTGCATACAATGTTACTGCACTGATTGTGCTGCTTTTTACAAGACAAAAAAGTATTCATTGAGTATGATGACCTAATTCCCCAATGAACAAACTTATTTGTGAAAATTACCATATTTATTTGAGGTACCTTGCAATTAGCAGGGTGAGGGTGGTATCAAATTAAAGCCTGTTTAATTCCGAATTGATCGATTGGTACGAGATTTTTTAAATTTTTCACCACCATTTTAAAGTGTGAAATCCAAAAGGTACCTACTCCTTGTTTGTGAGTTTCTGCGCTACAGTTTAATGAAGACAACATCACCCCATGGAATCCCCTTCAACTTTAGTACGTTGTAAATTGAACATTTCTTAACTAGTCCTCAAATTTGCATTTAGGAAATTTAATATTTGTGAACGCTATAGACCCGTATCATCGAAATTTTTTAATAGGCTCTACAGTGTAAAATGATATAGGTACCTATGTACACTAAACACAAAGTGAATCCAGTATAAGGTCGATGCAATGGCAGAGAGATGTAAAACTGCAGCTCAGTTTAAATCTCCTAGTACGGAGTTTTTTTTTACGAAAATCACGATCGCGTGCACTTATTTCAAAACGTAGGGCAAACTGAAAAACATACAAGATCAATTGCAAAAGACTAAATTTACAGAAAAGTTCCGGTATCTTCAACTGTTTATCAATAATAATCATTTAAATATTTGCAGGTTTTTCCCCATTACAGTTGAGTGCTCAAATTGCATTAAATCTGTGATGGATTTTAGCTTTCTAAAATAGTTTTGTACCGGAGCAGCGGAAGTGATAAACCATGAACTTTTTCAGAAAACCTCGACGACGACATAAGCCGTTCAGGTGTTATCCACATCCAAAGATAGATATTGCAGATATCAACACCGAATAAATTCACTTTTGAAATATTATTGTTGCTAATAGACTCAACACTTTTGTAGGAAATTAAGTGCTCTACAGTTTACGTTACATTTTTTTTAACTATTTCTGAAGGTATGCGTTTTAAAATTAATGAGCGCGATCGTGATTTTCGTAAGAAAACTCCTTAAGACTCCACTAAATGTGATAGGGTGAGTCGAGGTTATCTTTGTCTCTTCCTTAAATTGCATCGCAGCACCTTTTTTAAAGCCCAACAGTTGATATGTAACGGGTTAGGGGGGTGAGAGGGGAGGGGGCAAACTGATTGCTTATAATTTATCCAAATATAAGATGCATTACTAGCTCACTTGAATTGAAATATCCAAACTGGCTTCGGTCGGGATTTTTAATGCCGTTTGACCCATAGAAAACTGATTCCAACCAACTTCTCTTGACACAAGAAATACTCAATTTGGTAGATAATAAAATTCAAAAATTAATTAAGGAATCGAATATATTGAATAAAAAATAATTGAGCTTCCTTCTTTCTCAGTGGTAGAGCGTTGGGCTACAAAACCGGAGGTCGGGTGATCGAACCGGGACTGAAGTAGGAATTTTTCATCCTTGGCAGAGATGGGAATTTCCTTAGATCAGTTTCGAACATTCTGCCGCCTATTTCGAATGAGGTTTTCCTGCAATTTTCCTAATTCGTAAGGGAAATACCGGAGTAGTATAGAACGACTTAACACTTTCTGCAGGAGCACCTCTAAAATGCATTATGCGAGTCACTCTGTAATTGGGCGTAATCCTGTTGAGGGCCTAGAAGAAGAGGGACAATAAATAAATAAATAAATAAATAAATAAATAAATAAATAAATAAATAAATAAATAAATAAATAAATAAATAAATAAATAAATAAATAAATAAATAAATAAATAAATAAATAAATAAATAAATAAATAAATAAATAAATATACCAGAATTCTAACCCCTTCTCACGACTTGTGGTAATATATTTCAAATACACATACCAAATACCAGATTCTGTGGATTTGATTTCACAGATAATTTGATTTCAATGTTATAAGGATCATGACATATTGGAAAATTATTAATCTTACTCCTTAGGCTCTAACAAAAATTTGTACTTAAATAGAGTTAAGTTCATGAACTAAAACTCTAACATGGGGACACTAACTAATCCAAAACTAAAGAACTTTTCCCAGTTTTCTGATAAAATGCCCATAAAAAAGTCGCTTGAAATTCTTTACGCATTCACCGTAATATTTTACAGTTTTCTTTACGACAAATTATAAGAAATTTACAATACATCAATAGATCAGTGGATGAGTTCCGACTTGCGATGCCCACCAAGGTTAATAGCTTCGGAGAGCATATCGCAATTTTATTTGCACGATTATTTTATGATTTTATATCGCAACCAATTCGTTCACCAAAAAAACCGACCCGTCTTTCTTTGACTTTATTGTCATTACAAGCCATCAGAGAAATTAAGTTACCCTAAATGAGGTTCTTCTGTGAATATTTCACGATACGAAACCAGATTCACTTCGTGTGTGAATTATTTCTCGAATCTCCGCTAACACAAATAGATACTACCATTGTATTTATAATACAATGATACTACCTCCACGATTACCAATGTGAATTGCTCTTCCAACACAGTACGCAGAGCCCCAAAAGCATTGATCTAAATCTCAATTGGCTTAAGGAATCGGTATGCGATAGCCATGGTTAAAAAAACGTGTCAAAAATCAGTGTATGAACGGATTTTTTTGAAATTTCAAGTGCAGGTGCAGTGCAGTGCAGTTCAGGTGAAAAATAAATTAAATGCACATTAAAAACTAGATTGCGCATCCCACATACTAAACAGCACAAGAAAATTACATACATTTCTTATTTGGGACCCGCCTCTTCAAAAAATTTGAGCCGACCATATTTCTTATAAAAGTAAACTGAAATCAAGTGTCAAAAAACGGATCGCGCATACGTAGCACATAAGCTTCTAATTTCTGAACCATTTTTCCTGAAATTTTAATATTGACCTTATATCGGGCGATCAAAAATGAGAGACTGGCGAGTCGCCTTTGGAACTTCAAGTTAAGTACGATTTCCCATGTAAACAAAAATTCACAGGTACACGTAAAAAGCAATTGTGTATGTACAGTTCCGACTTTGTTGCAGGCCGATTTCTTCGAAATTTTGCGCTATTCGTTTACGACTTGCTTGTTACGAATTATTCCGACTGTTCAAAATCTTCTAATCCATTGGACACTTCCGATGTTTAAGATTCTCGAATTTTCACCGATTCTTTGGACACTTTCTTGAGATTCTTATTCTGCTGCGTGTTTTAAAATTATACTATTTTTAAATTTTTTTATTCTGTTCTTTCAAGTTCTTTAAATATCCCACTGCTTCTTCAGAACAATCAAATTCTTAGCATGTTTCAATTGTTCGTTTTGGTTGCTTCGGGTGCTTGGAATTCATGAACTCATTACATCCATCAAATCGTTCAGATTCTTCATATTCTTTGGATCAGTTAAGGTCGTTCTTGCTACGAATTTATCCGATTCTTTAGTTTCTTCCAACATCGAATGCATTCAGGCTTTTGGGATTCGATTTGTTAGATTTTCAGATTCATATAGGATTGTTACTTAGATGCTTAGGACTCCCTTTTTACCGAATTTTTTCGACTCTTTAAATTCTTTAGATCCATCGGGTTCTTAGGAATCCTTTGAGCTCCTATTTTTTTTCAAATTCTTTGATTTCTCGGATCCCATAAATCCAAGGTAGATATAATTATTAACGAAATTGTAGAAATGGTATAAAATAAACCTATGGATTCGGGTGGCGAGAGGAGTGGGGGCACACTGTGTCATATAATAGCTTAGCTGCTAATTAATGATCCATTTACTTGTTCCCAGTGAATCACCTCTTCGTGTTGCACGTGTTTTCATCTGTTGGCACTTAATTGGCAATTCAAGAAACCCAAAAAAAAACATACATGAGGTGCCTCTTTTTTTATTAACACCGTGCTCAACACAGAAACAGAAATTGATATACGATTATGTAATTGTTTAACAACGTGTTACCAATTACATCCTGGGTAATTAGAAGTGCTAGTGTGCCTTCTATTTTTTACGACACATCCCCAAATTAAAAAATTGAATGGTTGGCATTTACAGTGATTAAGAAATACTAATTGCTCTGAATATTTTGGTTTGATTGTGCAATGCAACCGCATCGTGCAACTATATAGTATCTTCATCCAGTAAGAAATCTAATTTTATATATTATCGATGTCCTTACAGACTGGTAATTACACACTTTTCGGATTATGAAACAGAATTTTAATAGCCGATAGATACTGAAAACACATATTCGAGATTAGAAATTCCGGTTTGTGTTGTCGCACGTAGTTCACTCAGTTGTCTGCGAAGTGTCCGGCATATTGTGCGTATGTGGTCATTCTGTTTGATAAGGTATGTTTCTTCATTTAATACAAACATCTTACGCATTTGCATAGCTAATAATAAGTGGTAGGTGTAATTAGCCCGTCACGTGGGTCGTGCTTGAAGATTTTGCGGCACATTTTTACTCGTTTTTGTTTTTTAAACAGTAATAAATCGCAGTTTTGAGAAAGGCAATATTTATCAAAGTGTGACCCATAGTTGTTGTTATTCGAATGGTAATCGCCAGTTAAACAGTTTGTAGGTCTTGTTTTCGCTAAATATATAGTTCTTGTACTTATTTCCTATGATTGTCTTTACTAAGGAAAGGAAAAAATCCCTCAAAGTTTTTTTGGTAGCGTGGTGCATTGCATGTAATTGTAATTGGAGGATGTTCCTTACTATTTGAATCTTGCACCTTGGGCTTTAAAGTTCACAGCTAAGTTTTTGAACCTTACGGTTCGAATCATTATCGTTAATTCAAAAAGTTTGAATTAGGGGTATACCTAGTCAGTTTGCTCTTTGCAGACATAAGCTGTAAATTTACACCTCTACTTGAGAACTCGATGGAGTTGCAAAATCTCTATGGAAATTGTCAGTTTTATGTGAACTGGAAATTTGTGTTCATTACGTAAAGTTAATCTTTTCGTTTTTGTTCAGTACAGACACAAACTAAGGTAGTTACATAAACGTTGAGATGATGCTTTTTGTGAATATGCCAACCTTTTGGCAGTATCAGTAGCGGGTTTGTAAAAAAACATGTTGTCAAATTACACTCTTTATCTACGAGTAGATATTACCAGTTACATCTGTGAATACACAGACAGATCCGTAAATTCCAAGATAGAACTTGCAAATTTTAAAGTTTGAAGAATTTCTCATAAAATTACAGTTAAATCTTCAAGCATCCCTAAGGCACAGATTAATTTAATCTGTGCCTAAGGTTAGGACCTTGAATCCTGAATAGAATGCTAAATAGTAAATAGCAAAATTTAAGGTTTGAGTTTGGTATACATAGTATAAGTACACAAGTACATACACGGTGTCGCATTTTTCGAGTGCCACTATGGGGATCTCGCTTACCTTAAGAGATAGAAAGTTGGTTAAATGGGAGCAAAGTTGTGAATTTCCTTGCTGAATAACCATCTGAAAAGAAATTTAAAATATCATCAATAGTTCTGAAAATATCACAAAAAAACGAAACTTTCTGATTTTCGTTTTTAATTTTTTCATGATAAACTAGTCGTGCTAGACATTTCTAATTAACACATTATTCGAACACTTTTCAATGGAGATTTCGAATGTGACATCTCGGTTTAAATAACTTTTAAGATGACAGAGAAACACGTGGCAACTTTAGTTTTTCTTATGGGCGCCATTTTTAATTTTGACATTTTAAGATTACGTCTTTTTTTCTCTTTACGACGATATATCACACATGGTGGTTCAGTATCACATTTTTCCTAAAATACAATTTTTAATTTTTTGGGAAGAGTGCTTTGGAAAAACAAAACGTTCTTTTATTGTGAACAAAAGTTTGACAGTTTGATGCATATGTCCGGTTGCAACGTTGGCATCAGGGAACTAGATGTGTTTTCGATTTTCATATGAACAGAATTGAACCTTCGTTTTGCAAGAAAATTATAATTCAAAATACCTACATAAGAATAAATAATATTTTAGCAATAAAACTGGCACAAACGTAAATGACACTGGTTGAAATAGGTCAACATTTTGTTCACAACAAAAGAACGTTTTGTTTTTGCGTAGCACTCTTCGCATAAAATGAAAATTGTATTTTTAGAAAAAAAGTGATACTGAACCACCATGTGCGATATATCGTTGTAAAGAGAAAAAAAGACCTAATCTCAAAATGTTAAAATCCAAAACGGTGCCCATAAAAAAAACTAAAGTTGCCACGTGTTTCTCCGTTATCTTCGAAAGTTATTAAAAACGGGATGCCATATTCGAAATCTCCACTAAAAAGTGTCTGAATAATGTGTTAATTAGCACGACCAGTTTATCATGAAAAAATTAAAAACGAAAATCAGAAATTCTCGATTTTTTGCCATATTTTCAAAACTATTGAAGATATTATAAATTTCTTTTTAGATTATTATTCAGCACGAAAATTCGCAACTTTGCCCTAATTTAACCAAGTTTCTATCTTTTAAGATAAGCGAGATCCCCACAGTGGCACTCGAAAAATGGACACCGTGTATACGTCGATTTAGGCATTCCTACACGACCATTTTTTGGTGACGCATTTATTTTCAGGTAATTTCGATTATAAAATGCCCATAACTCTTTTTAGGTGATATGAAAAAAAAAACTGTTGGACACTTTTGGTCTTAAGTCCCAAAATTGCATGACTAAATTATTGCGCTTCGACAAAAATTGCAGTTGGCCTTCAAAAATCAATTTTGGATTCGTTATTTTGATGTTAAAATATTTCCAAATACCAAATTGCGAACAAAATTTTTTCATCGCTCTCGTTCATATGCACTTTTCTGTTTCCTTAAGAAAAAATGAAAAAGTAATCGGATTTATGCATTAGATGTCGCTGTCAACTATTTAATGCTAAAGTCACTAGATATAGAAAGTACCGCAATCACCCGCCATTTTTGGGCAAATTTGCTGCCAACTTAAAAAAATTGACAAATAAAATCTGAATAGCTGTAATTTTTTACAACCTAACTTCATAGTACTGTCATGTTTTATAAAAATATATACAGATATGTCCAAACAGGTGGAACAATCCCTAACATTACTTACTAGAATCTGGTAACTTCCGCCATTTTTGGGCAAAAATCATGTGTTCTCTCTCTAACACACGAGCCCAATGGATTGCGGTACTGTCTATTTTTAGTGACTTTATTTAAAGCGTTGAAGCTTTGAATATATAAAATACCTATAGCTATAAACAGATGAAAAGCGGTCCAAAATTTGAGATTTTTATTGTGTGTATGTAGTGAAATCAGCGACATCACAGCATACGCGTTCCAGCGGAGTTTCACTGTCAAATTTCATGACCGCCGATTAGAATCTTACGTATACGTTTGTACTTATGAGAATGGGGTGGAAAACACCAGTTTGCTACGCCCAGCAGCTGTCAAAACTAATAAATTTTATTTTATAGCACACGTTAAAATTACATTTTAATAGGACTGCGCGTGTCAATGATAAGCGCTGATACTGCAGGTGAGAGAGAAGAGAAAACTAAGAAGGCAAGCTGTCGCCTACGGTTACGTATCTGATTGGTTCTTTCAATTTAATTTTAATGCGATCGCGATCGCTTCGGTTGAAAGAACCAATCAGATGCGTAATTTACGTTAGCTGCTCGCATATTTTGGCAAAATTACAAATAATTGACGTTATCCGGTCGGGCAAATAATTTTGCAAATGCTATAATTTAGGTAAAACAAAGTAATTAACATAAGCGTAACGCTTAACGCATAAATTGTGGAAGCCTTAATTTTAATATTGTCATATTATAATTAAATTACGCCCTTAATTGCTGATGGAACATTCATTTATCTCTAGGAAATTAAACCACACGCAAGTTTTGTGATTATAAAAGCTACATGTAAACTGTTATATATTCAATTCATTTAATCAATTATAAATGAAAAGTAATTTCCTTGCAGTACTGTAAAATTTGAACTTCATTAACAATTCGCCAATATCCTAATTTTTACTAATCATACTCTAGCATCGAGTTTTAATCACTGACACTGAAATTCTACGCATTCTTTAAAACAATTGTCTGGATTTAAGAATAACTATCAAAGATCCATACATTATTTACCTCCTGAACGGGTCGACCGTTTTTTGACAGTATTATGGAGGCCGTATCCGTCTACGAGACCCTCGTTCAAACCAAAGTATTACTAATACCGAGCATTTAAAAATACTTCGATTACGAATTTCATGGAGAACTAGATTGGGATGGAAATATCCGAAAAACCTTGGTTATTTGAAGTATTTTAGCTATGGCGCGTTAAGAAAGAAAGTAAGGTGTCATATGCTGTAATAATATACAGGGTACCCCATACAAAAAAGTCGCATTTTTGTTTATTGTCGAAAAAATGTGATGTTGTTTTTTTTAATAATTACAAAATTGGATTCAGTAGACAAAAATTTTGGTCATTTAACCGTCATTCTAACTCTACAACTAAGAATGTTAGCAATAGTGCCGGCTTAATTTGCGACAGACTGTATACTACATTTCCTTATTTCCTTAGAGTTTTTCGCACCTTCCACTTAGGATGCGCCTTCTTGGGGGTAGAAACTTGCAATATATTTGCTAAATTAGAAAATGTACACCAAAAAACCCCGAGCTTTGGTTCTTTGGAAAATAATGAAGAAGAAGAAAATGAGTTTCAGTCTTTTAAGTACGTTCTCCCAATCGATACAGAGGTTGAATGTGTTCAACACAATATTTTCTTTATAACCTTTTTATGGAATTCAAAATTATCAAAAGTTTGCTACCAATCTACGCACTTTGAATGTGTGGTCAATGGCGTACTTCGGCATGGCCGAGGAGGCTTATTTTTTTTAAATGCCAACCGCTACTTTTCATTACCTATTCTTAAAGAGTACATTTTGTTGGACATAGCAGCATATAAAAAGCTTATTACATTGCAGCATAATCAAACTTAAGAGAAAAACTCAAATTAAGGAAAATAGTTTGTTATTAATTTCATAATTTTACTAATGTGATCATCTTTTTTATACGTAATGAAAACTAATGTTGTCATTAAAAAAAATAAGCCCCCCTTGACCGTGCAGAAGTACGCCAAAGATCACAAATTTAGAGTAAGTAGATTAGTGGCAAACTTTTATAATTCCGGATACCATAAATGCTTCTTTAGGAAAACGTTATTTATTTTGACGATATATTGAGGGTTCCAGACAACATTTTCACACTGTATATTGAACCTATGGTTTATTCGGTCTCCCTTCCACCTTTTTTTACGTTCTTAATCGTTACATCCTGTATATCCAGATTCCTTTCGGTATTTAGAGAAAAGTCTAGCAAATTTAAGAGAACCAAAGTGGTTTTTTTTTCAAGGAAATAATTTTTTTCGATGAATTGAATTGATTTAACAGTTAAAACATTATTTATCACTCACGAATACACAATTTATAACAACGCGCATTATTTATTACTTCGGCCTCAAATTGGAACTGTCCTGAAACGCAATTCGCTTTAATCTAGGCGTCAGAGACTGAAAATCTTTGAATAGACAAAGGAATTCTTATTGAAGTTTTTTTTTTGTTTTTAAGCCTTCGTACATGTCTAGAGCAGTAAATATTAAAAATACACATCTAAATTCGATAGAAAGAAAAAAAGTTTCAATAAAAATTGCTGTGTCTTAAAAACCTCTGCCGCCTGGATTACTTTGCTTATATAGTAAACTCTAGTGTTCCCGAGTGGTCGCGAGTCTTCTCGAATGTTCTAGAACAAAACACGTCATATTTCCCGAAAAGATTGCATCACATCCACCTTCGTTCTTTATCGCCAATGATTAATCTTTCATGGCGCCTCGAGCTTTATCGGGATTTCTGGATTATTCGCTAGATTATACTTGTAACGACGTTATTCATGCAAAAACTAAACTTTCCCCACATATTGATTAAAAGTTTAAATTAATACTAGTTATAATCTAATGACTTTATTTGTAATATGTTTTTCTAATCTATACACCTTACCTTTCAGATATTGAAGATGAGGCTAGCATTATTCCTCGCGCAGCTAGTTCTGGCATTCGAAGTGGCGTGGACAGCGTGCACAACAGAAAATCCATATGGGGTTTATAATGTCTACTGCACGAAGATAACATCATTCGATGACGTACCGTTGGAGTTTCGCATACCCTCTGTTTTCGACCTCTTCATTAACGGAAGTACAATATCTTTAAAGCGCACCAAATCCCTCCAGGGAATCGCTAATCTGCATATACATTCTAGCGATATCACATCACTCGAACCCGAATTTTTCGACAGCGCGTCCAGTCTCAGAGAGCTAAAGATTGAGAACTGCACAGTGAGTAATATCCAACCGTTTCCCGTAGCGAAGTTGTCTTTTCTACGCGTCTACAATTCTAAAATAGGCGCGACACCGAATAAGCTACTTCACAACTTGAAAGACTTGGTTCTCTTCACCACCTCCGGAAACGCTTGGCCAAGCCTGACAAACTTCCCAGACAATTTTTTCAAAGACTTACCTCTATCTGTGATTACCTTGGAGAATGCCGACATCTACAGTCTGCAGGGGCTATCTTTCAAAACTCTGAAGAAGTTGCACTACCTAGAACTACAAAACAACCAATTGTCTTCGCTACCGGCAAACCTATTTCAGGACCTCAGCGAATTGGTAAATTTAAATTTAAGCCACAACGATTTTAGAAAATTCGACGAAAAGGCGTTCAAGGGTTTGCCCGTTTTGAAAACGCTCTCTCTTGCCCATAATAAACTAGGCGACGCGAGTAAAACATGGTTCACCCCACTCAGATCACTTCTAGCGTTAGATCTGAGCTACAACAACATTTGGAAATGCGACCTTATTTTGAAAAATTTGACGATTCTAAACCTGTCCTATAACAACTTTAGTAAAATTGCCAGTGAAGCTTTCGTCGGACTACCAAAGCTCTCCGAACTCGATCTATCTCACAATTCCATCCAGAATCTAAGCTTACAGGCTTTCAAAGGTTTAACTGAGCTTAGAGTGTTAAAGTTGGGGCACAATAAATTGCAGGTGATCGACGGCCGAGTGTTTGGTCACTTTCGGAGCTTAAATGTATTAAGTATGGAGTACAATCAGATCACAAACGTAAGCCAAGCTGGTTTTGACAGTCTGAAGACGCTTTGGAATCTAGATTTGACTGGCAACAAGTTGACTAGGCTTGGAAACATTTTTCACAAGATCTCTACGTTGGAAGAGTTACATTTGTCAAACACCAGCCTTGTTAGTTTAGACTCGGGCAGTTTTCAAGGACTGACCCGCCTACAAAAGCTAGATTTATCCCAAAACAGCCTAAGAAGTATTCCTGGAGGTGTTTTCCAAAATCTCGACTCCCTCGAGGAATTAAACTTATCCAAAGTCGGATTCACGAAGCTGGACGCCGCAACCTTCGGTAAACTCGACATGTTGTTGCGCTTAAACTTGGAAGGGAACGCGTTGGAAGAGTTACCTTTGGGAATTTTTGACGGTGTCAAATTGGAAAGTCTCTCCCTTAAGGGGAACCTGATCAAGAATATTAGTAGGAACGTGTTGGAAAGACAAACCAAGTTAAAGGAAATTAACTTTGAAAATACGCCGATTTATGATCTTAATGCGACCGATGTTTTACCCAATCTGAGGTATCTTCTGCTTAATGGCACCAAATATGAGAGTCATGGGGTTGTTGATTTGAAAAGTCGTCAATTTCATAAAACTAGTCGCGGAATTTGGGAGTCGACGTGTTCTTTTCCATATTGTTAATAGATCTTAGTGTTTTTTTCCAACGAATATTAAAGGATTTTGTATAAATAAATTTTTAGCATATAAGTTTATTTTTTTCTTATTTCAAGAGCTTATGGACAGTCACAAAAAAATAAAAACGAATATGCCTTTTTTTCGAATATCTTCGGAGCTTATGGAAATTTCACAGTTTTTAAAACATGATTTTACCAATCCCTAAAATACGTAACCGTTTTCTAATTTAACCAACTGTGTATCTCTTATGGTTTCCGATTTCCGCGTGATGTTAATTCTTATCCTGGACACACTGTATAGTAATAGTTTTAAACCTTGCGTTACCCTTTTAATTCGAACGTATTTTACTCATTACCTTCACGTAATTGTTGAAATTACTGCCGCAATTGCATTATTCTATTTACACTCCAACTAAATACACACGCTCTCGATTATTCGAGTATCACTGCAATAAATCAAAACCTCTACGGTAAATTACAGGTGGTCCAAATAACTACACTGACAACTCCACGTTAATTTTTTGGCACAATATAAAACCACCCTACGGTAATTCACGGTTGACTTAACTTTTTCGACCGCTCAACGCACACGCTAATTCTCTCGGGGTTAACGGATGTTACAAATTTACTTCTTTTCCTTCTTTCCGTTAACGTTTCTATATCGTAATTAAATTGAGGGTGGTTATTGTTATGTAATTATATTAATATGCCTCGGCTGCTCGTCGGTTAATAAGCCTCTTCTGGCCTCAAAAGGGTAAATAATAACTCAATAACCTATATCAAAGTTTGAAATGATTCTTATATTTTTAAAATATCGCCGTAAGAGAACAGGTTTTAGTGACAGGGGTTGAGGCGAAACAATTCTGTAAGGCATTCGCAAGAACATACTTCGGATTGATAGGAAATATTAATCTTAATTTTATAGCATACGGTAAAATGACGTTTTAATAGGTTTGATTGAGTACGCTAAATCGCTCTTCAACCGTGAGGGAAAATAAAGCGATTACTTGAACCGCAAGGGTAGATAAAATGAAACAGATGATTGTGCATTCTAATGAGGTCTGTCATTCTTATTTAAAATGTCACGCTCAGCACAATATAAAAATGACGGTTTCTATGGAAACGATTTATTTATTTATTTTCTCTCTCTTGTTTTGACCCTCAACAGGCTTTCGTCCAATTACAGAGTGGCCCGAATAATGCCTTTTTAAAGTTGCCCCTGCAGAAGGTCTTAAGTTGTTCTATACCACTCCGATATTTACGTTCGAAGGAAAACTGCAGGAAAATCTAATTCGGAGTAGTCGGCAGAATGCTCGTAACTGATGTTAGAAAATTCCTATCTCTGCCACAGATAAAAAGTGTTACCTCAACCCAGGTTCGGACACCCGAAGGAACAGTGACATAAACAAACCCTCCGTTGAAAGTCAGATACCCTTAAGTTCAAGAACAAACTCAAATGATAAACGGAAAAATTAGAGTGCACAGGGTTTGGAATTTGTTCTTTTTTACTTTTGTGTACTAACAACAACTCGATTTACGTCTTAGAGAATTTGACGCACTCGAGGTAAATAAAAGCTCTATTATTCTGCAAATTTCCATACAACGAGGGGTAATTGCACCAAAAGGAGTCTCAAGGGTTCTACCGTATCACCCCAAAACGATCCAATTTCCAATTTTTCTTGGAGGGAGCCTTCTTCAAGAAAGGGCCGTATCTAAAGAAAACGATATCGTTAATTTGCTTTAATACTTTTTGGGGTACATGACACTAATAAGCCCCCAAGTATAATCATGAAATTAATAAAAATGACTACAGTGCACTTTAATGAAGCATTTTCAACAACAAAAATTTCGGGAGAAGCTCTAAATTTTGCACAATCTTAATTAATAGTCCAAACCTGGGGTTATGTTATTTAATTTCGTCATTCTTAAGGTGGCGAATCTGAAAAATATGATACGGTTACACACAAAATAACCAACACTTCCATGTGGATTCCCTTTAATAAAACCCCTTTTGGAAGCGCATACAGTCTAAACTTGAACGCCTTAGAAAAGAAAAACGTCATTGTGCATCTGGCAAGGGTCGCCTTTGTTCACTAGGGAAAACCCGGGGCACCTCTCGCATCTTCCATAGACCAACTCTTCCCTATCGAACGCCTTTTTTAGCGCATTTCCACAAAAATAAAAAAAAATGCGCTATTGTGGCCACTTTGTCCGTCCGTCCGTCCGCTCGTTTTGCGACGCTACTAGTTCTTTATCTTAAGAGCTACTGTTCTACTTTTTTCGCTATTTGGTTCGTTATGGTGTCGAGTCTTGTACCAAGGAAGGAATTTTTTCTGTACCGCTTACAAAAAAAGTTATTGTAAAAAAACAAAAAACCGTTTTTTACATGTTCCATAATTTTACACTTTTGCCGTTTATTAACGATCCTAGAGATCGTTTATAATTTTGCATTGCTATCTGTCGCCTGCCGGTTGGTCTGTCCGTCTGTTCCTTTGTCTGTCTGTCCATCTATCTGTCCGTGTGAACGATAACTTTGTTTAGAAATGTTCGATCGCTTTTACATCTCCGTTAGTTATGAACTGAATTGCATGAAATTCAATATGGGCATAGATTTAGCCATATAATACGCAATGCCAAAAGTTGAATTGAATCGATTCAAAATTCACAGTGCCCTTTTCGCATCTCGACCATTTATAAACCGAATTGCAAACTTTTTTTACTTATAAAAGTATTTGAATGAAATTTGATACATAGGCACTTGGAATAAAGGAAAATCAAACGCCAGTTTCAAAATTTGGCTTTGCGCATGCGCAGTGCCAACTTTTTTATCTATGGAACCATTTAAGTGAAATTTGATACTTAGGCGCTTGGAACAAAGGAAAATCTAACATTAGTTTTAAAATTAGGTTTGCGCATGCGCAGTTCCAACTTTCTTATTTAGAAAAGCATTGAAATGAAATTCTTCTCATAAACTGAAATTGAAGTAGCACGTCAAAAATGGATTGCCCATGTGCAACGCTATCTTTCATATTTGTGGCCGGATTTTTACGATTTTAACAGAAGTTGCATCTTACAAAGGGGAAATGAATGCAAGTGGAAATGCGCTTTTGTAAATCGTTTACGATTACTTTTTAACTTGTTGTACTAACCGCTGCTTAGCATCGATCGCCATGTACACTAGAGGGGGGAAGGAATATCACTCGCATCTTCCATAGATCGCCTCTTTGCTAGCGACCACCGACTAACTTTTATTTTTATTTTATTTATTTATTTATTATACCTCTCTTGCTCTGGTCCCTCAACAGGCTTGCGCCCAATTACAGAGTGACCCGCATAGTGCTTTTTATTAATTTCTATAAGAATTTGCAGTGGATGCTTAGTTGACGTAACCATAATATCCTTAACGCAACCGATCCGTGGAAACTAATTGCATAGAACTGATTTGTATTGCGTTATAATTAGATCCATGCAAAGGAATTTGGTTATTCTTTCATTTAGTTGGAAATTTATATTTCATTGAAGTGATTCTTGCATTTATAGGAAGCAAATCAATATTTGTATTCAGAAATGTAAAGGCGAAGTCGTATTTATTCGTCTGTAATCAAACCAGCCTGTCAAGTTTTGATTTTCAGATCTAACAAGAGGCCAAACTTCCGCAAAGTAAGGGATATTTCAATTTTATTACAGAGCAAGCCGTGAGTAAATTTAATTGTAATAGCAAAAAAATTTCACAGTTTTTGAAGCCAGAAAAAAATTCTCTACCTAAAAGTAAAAATGACTTCCATAGAAAAAACCAAGTGGGTGACTGGAGACGAAACGTCAAATTTAAATTTTAAAAGTAGCATCTTGTAGATGGAAAAAAGTAACCCTAATAATGTGTCTTTTATTTCGAAATATCTTTTTAAATAACTTCGGTAAAAAATAAAAACGATTTCGCAAAATTTCATTTTTCTGGATATCGGGATCTTTTCAGTTTCAAAACTCAATGTTGTTAAGCAACAAAATATGCAACTTTACCAAATTTAAACTACCTCCCGATCTGGTACAGTTCCCGAGATCCCCATGGTGGCCCTAGAATTTGAATCCGCCTGTACGTAAATTAGTCACTTTATAACAATTTCATAACTAATAATAAAAGGTAGAAAATATCTATGACACAGTACAAAATGAGCACAAAATTGCCATTTCCTCTTTGAAAAAATCAACTTTTTAAGACTTGACCATTAATTTTAAAACACCCTGTAGAAAGGCGATCAAAATTTAAATCAGAAAAGCAGTCAAACGTTAAAAATTTTGAAAAAGCTTGAATAACTTGAAAACCTTTGATGCTGGCTATAGGGAAATGTGGTATCAAACAACATAGATTTTAATGTACATTTCGATATAGGGCGTTCTATTTAAAATAAGAAAGTTGCTATCCACTTCCGGTACAATCGGAAGTGAAATGACCATGATAATATTTTCTTTCGATAGATCATGTAAAACTATGTTGGTATGCAAATTTGCTGATTTAAATTATTAATGAGAATCTGAATACTTTTATAACTCTCGCCAGGAAAGATTGCCGATCATAGCACACCTTGTGTCGATTTACAATCTAAGTTTTTCTTAAGATGCGAGCGACTTCCGGAATAGGATTGTGCCAATATTAAACGAAAAGTCTTTTTGTTCAACATTGACACGATACTATCCCGGAAATCGCTCACATCTTTAGAAAAACATAGATTGTAGACCGGGATCAAGTGTTCTGTGACCGGCAATCTTTTCTGGCGAGTGGTTTAGGTAACGGTTTGCGTGAAACAGCCTATATAATATATATAACCCTACACAATTTCTCAACTCTAGTTATATATCCTTGAATATGGACCTATAGTTTGGGTTAAATTTGTAGAATTAAGTAGCTGAATTTTTTAATACTACCCCTTTCTCTTTATATTTCCTATGAGCAGTAGTAAACTGGAGGTTCATCTTCTGATATAAGGTTTCGGCACCGCGCGTGTGCCTTAGTAATTAATTAGAAACCATGAAAACCATTATCTTAACAAAAAGGGGCATAACACAGTTTATCACTAAGAAAA